TATAGTATATAATAAGATGATTGAGATGGTAGGAGTTGAATGGGTACTGGTAAAAAATAACCTTCTGTCTTTTTCTTTGTTACACAGCACAAGCAAGTGGGTTAGGTGTACATACAAATTGAGTTACATCAATCTATAATATCAGGCTAGTTTTTTAGAAATTGTTGTAACCAGAATTCTGTTAATGACTTAAACCAAAGATATCCTCATTTCTTTTCCGCATTTTCTTTTAAAATAAAAAACCCTATCGTAATATGAAAAAAAAAAAAAGGATTGACTATAGATTCTACTTTGTATCAGGTAGTTCTAAATACATATTATTATGTACACGCATATATTTACGAATACATGCACATATTATTTATACATATATAAATACATATTATACGTACGCATATACGTATACATATACAGATTTAGGCTGACATAATATAATCTCTGTATATTGTATTTCTAAAAATCCGCGAATGGAGATATCGGGCGAGTGATATCAACATCCAAGGATACTACAGGAAGGAAAAAGCAAAAGTGTCAACACAAACATGAAATGTGTAGTTTTTTCAACTTTTGCCACTTTCTTCAAGTTTAATATGTATGTGTTCATTTCATACTCGTTAAAATATTTGTACAAAGCCAACTTATAAATTCTGATTTTACATGTCTAGGTTAATGAGGCTAAAATTTGAGGAGTAACTCATTTCAATCGCAGATATCTCGATTTTCATTCCGAATAGATGGGTATTCGTTATCATTATTGTTTAAATTTGTGTTTTAAAAAATCGAAGGCAATACAAATGAACAAACTCTATTGTATCAATAACTCCATTATCATCGGTATCACAAGAAATAAACCCAAGTTCGTTGGCGTACTTTTTACACAATATATTTTTTAAAAAAGTTGTTGTGTTGGTCCTATCAGGAATCATGAAAAGCAAGAAAATTGTAAGTCTTGACCATAATATTAAACTGCATTTGGGTGATGCTGAAAAGTACATCTTTGATATAGCTTTGGAAGGGTGTATAAATCGAAAATTCCCATAAATTGGACTTGAAGAAAATGGCTTCACTTTACAAATTTGACATGACTATTTTTGCCCCAAATCTCCACATAACGTGGATTATGGGAAATAACTCTTTTTCTTTGGCCTCAAAATCTCACATATTACAGTATTATTATTATGTTCAAATTTGACACTCTTCTCACTAGGGTACATTATGATACTGTAGAGCAATGTAATACTACGTAACAAGTCTCTGTATAACTCAGCAATACGGTACCCTGGAATTAAAAAGTTCTATCTGCTCAATACCTAGTTTTGAGAATTTTGACTTACTTTAAGAATATATTTTGAGTTACACGCATTTCAAGCTCTTTCAAATGCAATTCTTTGAATATCTTGACAACGACTCCGATAAATAATCTTACGATTTTGATAGAGCAGATAAAACATTTGGTTTCTGGACTGATGGTCTTAGTCTTAGTAATTTAAACAGCCAAAAGGGTAAAGTAGAACTTGATAATTCTAAGGTAGCGAATAGGGTCCACATCCTGAGGCTCAATAGATAGAAATAAATAACATTCTGAGTATGGCACAATAGAGAACAGAGGTTCGAACCGCGGCCATAAGTGAATCTGTTGTACTCATGGTATTTGATTATACTTGGCTAAGTTCTTCTTCTCCTTCTCCTTCTCCTTCTCCTTCTCCTCTTTCTCCTCCTCCTCCTCCTCCTCCTTCTCCTTCTCCTTCCCCTTCCCCTTCTCCTTCTCCTTCTCCTTCTTCTTCTCCTTCTTCTTCTTCTCCTTCTTCTTCTTCTTCTTCTTCTTCTTCTTCTTCTTCTTCTTCTTCTTCTTCTGTTATTGTTCTCTCTTTGTTTCATCTCTAACGTTCCCTTTAGTCTCTAAGAGAGGGGGAAAAACCTTTGTAAGAATTCACAATGTGACAACTACATTTTTTGTACTACTTTAACGTTTCCACTTCTCCCGAAAACAACCTCTCTGAGAATTCACAGTAGTTGCACAACGAAATCTTTCCAACGTTTCTTTTTTCACTAAAAGAGCACCCGCTGTAAGAAATCACAATTTCACAACGAAACCTTTAAGTTCCATCTTCCTATAAAATAAAACAACACCAGGTATAAGAAATCATATTTTTACAACCACACCTTTCCGTTCCATCTTCCTATAAAATAAAACAACACTTGCTACAATTGGCACTCATATGACCTTATGCAGTTGCGAGCGCCGTAAAACCTCTACTAAAACTAAACTTGCTACAAGAAATCACAATTTGACGACAACATCATCCTTCCGTTCCATCTCCACCGACTTCTGTTTCGCCTCCCGCCTGTCTCTGTTTTCTTGCACTCTGTTCATGACGATCATGATGATAACTGTGACAGCCAGAACACCGTGGACCCCTGTGTCCACTCCGCCCATCAGGTATCTACACAGGTGGAAGGAGAGAGAGAGAGAGAGAGAGAGAGAGAGAGAGAGAGAGAGAGAGAGAGAGAGAGAGAGAGAGAGAGAGAGAGAGAGAGAGTAATGGTTACATTATGATATCATCATCATCATCATCATCATCATCATTACATAATTTTCGCCATCATCATCGTTCCATCATCATCATCATCATCATCTTCATCATCGTCATCATCATCACTCATCATCATCATCACTCATCATCATCATCATCATCATCATCATCATCATCATCATCATCATCATCATCATCATCATCATCATCATCATCATCATCATCGTTGTAAGCACGATAATATACAAACGCAAAATATTGGAGGAGACTGGAGTATTTTGATATTCCTAGTACCATAACATGAGATATCATCATCAGCATCTAGAGCCAGATCTGAAACAGATGTCGGGGGTCATGGTTCTCCATAATTATCTCTCCTCTCAGACACTGGCGAGAATTCTATACTGAGTATTTTGGCTCTGATACTTTTAAGTGGTAGTGTGGGTATGATTTGCTCCTATTTTTCTATTAAACATAACATATCGTCCTTATCTTTCCTCTTTCTGTTCTTTAAACATGTTTGCTTGTCTCGAGTTACATAATTTTATTATTACATGTAATCTTCGGCATTGACATCATCACCTATATATTGTTTTTGTGGTTTTTTATGTTGTTGGTTCTTTTCGTTTCATTGTTTGTTGTTTTATTTTGTTTTTGTCTTTAATCATTTTCTAAAGTTATGTTTTGTTATCGTCCATTTTAAGTTGTAACAAGCAATACATGCTTAAGAAGGGACCGGGACGTCAAACAAGATAATTTAGAGGGACAGTACGTTTTTCACAGCGCTTTCAGTTTTAGTAACAGTTTTAAAAACTGTACTTGTAGTAGCAGAAATAGGTGATAATGTAAATGCCGAAGATAACATGTGTTACTAGAGACAAGCAAACATGTATAAAGAATAGACACCTTATGAGGTTGCCAGGCAGTAAAACCTCTACTAAAGCAGATAAAGAACAGAAGGAGAAAAGATGAGGACCATAATGTCATGTTTAATAGAAACATAGGAGCATATCATACGCAGAGCACCCGCCTACCACCCATCACTAGAAAGTAGCGTCAGAGAAAAAGAAATAGGAGGGATAAGGGCGACATAAATTATTATGTTGGATCGAAAAGAAGGGGTAAACCACAGCAGGGGACCGCCAACCAACCACTACTAGAAAGTTACATACAAGAAAAGGAAGGAGGAGCGATAAGGACAACATAATGTTTGACAAGAAAGAATGAGCCAACCACACCAGGGGACCCGCCAACCACTCACTACTAGAAAATAACATACAAGAAAAGGAAGGAGGAGAGAAAAGGAGATAAAGACAACAATGTTTGATAAGAAAGAAGGAGCCAGCTACACCAGAGCACCCGTCAGCCACCCACAAGTTAGTGTTGTGTAAAGCTGTTTAGAAATTGACGTCGTTTTTACCTGATCTTGGTCCTGTCGTAAAGATTACAGACGTTTTTGTCTTTGACCAGACAGGCGTCATCGATGACCGACCCGAACAGATTCGCACTTGGGATGGCCACTGTGGGAATAGAAATAGGCTAACGATTCAACGTTTAAGAAGAAGAATCATGGAATAATATTGATAAATTACGTCTGAGAAGAATGGAATTAGAATAATATAAATAAATACATTTGGGAGATAGATAGATAGATAGATAGATAGACAGATAGATAGATAGATAGATAGATAGATAGATAGACAGATAGATAGATAGATACATAGATAGATAGATAGATAGATAGATACATAGATAGATACATAGATACATAGATACATAGATAGATAGATAGATAGATACATAGATAGATAGATAGATAGATAGATAGATAGATAGATAGATAGATAGATAGATAGTCTAAGTTACATTTTGCTAAAAGTAGAGCTCTCAGTATGACGACGTTCTTCAGGAAAGGCTACACAACATAACATTTGATTATTGAATGAAAATACTGGATGCGTTGAATCAAAGTTATTGTTATTATATTAATATCATAATCTTATTACCCAAACTCTGCAGTATATCATGCTTAAGTCAAGCTTGTATACTTTCGGAAGTCAAAATAAGAGAAGAATATAAGAAAAAAGTGTAGGTAAGCGTAAGTGAGTAGATCTAATGAAATATCAGTATTAATACACATCGTCGCTGTCGTAAGCAATCCCCTTTTGTCCAAATTTTGTGAATGTTCCGACTTTTACACCTTCTCAAAGCTCTACCAAAGATGCATCTTTCAACATCACCAGGACGGAGTCTAATACTACTGTCAAGGCTTATTAATATATTTTTTTCTTTTCACGAACCTTGATAGGAACAACGCAAAACACCCTATTGTTTGCCTCTCGAGTAAAAAGGACTCAAACAGACGTAAGTTGATTGCTTGCGACATCGACGATATAATTTCCTTAACTTCCCTGTTCAGGTCTACTTACGGAAGTCGAAGAAAAAGAAGAGCATACTTCCGGCAAAGCCCCTGTCTTGTGCGGATACCACTCTGAGAGGAATGGAAGACAAAAAAAGCTGAATTAAAGTTGAACTCAGATCCTCCTCCTCTTCTTCCTCCTCTTTCTCACCATCATTATCATTATCATCATTATCATCATTATCATCATCATCATCATCATTAGTGTTTTTGTTGTAAGCACAATAATAAAAATAGACTCCAAAAAAGGGCGGTGACTTGAGTATTACATACAATATTAACAACCATCATCATCATCATCATCATCATCATCATCATCATCATCATCATCATCATCATCATCATCATCATCATCATCATCATCATCATCATCAACATCATCATCATCAGACATTATTGAACAGTAGAAAATATCATAATGGAGACTTTAATATTTTCAGGCTAGTTAAATGTATTTCAAAGTTAAAAGACTTCACCATAAACATCTCTATCGTCATCATCAAATGATGGATCCGAAATAAGATTATATCTTTTCTGTCCGTGTAATTCTTAAGTCGCCAAGGAAACTGAAACTTTCTGTCACTTTTGTCCTATTTTCACGAATTGCGGTATAGTATGTCAAGCATTCACAGCCGTATAGAGGGTTTGACCCCTTTAGAACCCTCAATATATAACTAAGTGCTAATGAGATCTTTCTATTTTTCAAGATTGGACTCATTTTATTGAAGCTGTCTGTCTTCAGCTATTGCAATTCTTCATTTCATTTCTGTGGAGCATTTGGCATGTGATGATGTGATGAAATGCTAAATAAATATTTTTAAACTGTTGAATTTGCTTGATCTTTATTACACACTTGGTTATGAGACTGCACATGTGATGTACTCTTTTTTTGTTAGATATTTCCATGCATTCTGTTTTCTTCCCATTCAACAATGATCGTTTAGGTTCACAGTCTGTCACAACAATATGTGTCACGACGCGGTGGAATCAGGCTCTCGTCAGTTTTGGGAAACATGGAGCTATTGATATAATCTTAAAGCCTGTCCATTTGCCTTGTTTTTAAAGAAAAATAAAATCCATTTATCTTGGATACAAGTCCAGATAATGGCGATTGACGGAGATGGGGTCGCCTGGTTTTAGAGGTAAGATTAGCAAGAAAATGGTCTCCAAAGTTGAGTTATTTCCCTAGTTTGAGAGTCCGTGAGAACTGAAAATTTTCATCTTTTATGCCTTTAATCAACTTTTTTCCAATAAAATCCAGACAGAAATGTATTTTTAAAGGTCATGAAAGGCGTTCAGCAATAAAATAAAAATTCGATAAAAATTCCCAAATCTGCTTCAAAATGCCAGTTTCTTAACTTTCATTATTTTATCGAGCCCCTGATTTCACCTCGTTCCTTCACATATAAAGAATTAATTTTTGCCCTTGAAAATATGTTATTAAAACTGTGTCATCGGCATATCTTATGTAGTAAATATTTTCACAATTCACTTTGAAGCCAGAACATTACTGTATAAATAATAGAACTTTTTGCTGTTGTGTATGTTGAAGAGGTTCGATGAAATAACACATCCTTGCCGCACTCTTGTTTTAATCTGCTTATATCTTTTGTAATCTGCATAAATTCGCACAGCTGTCTTTTGATCACAGTACAATTTTCTTAGATCGTTTACATCTGTGCCTAGTTTTTCTAGCTTTCTAAACACCTCACCATGCTTAACTTTATCAAAAGCCATTGAATAAACAATAGATAGATAGATTGATAGATAGACACACATATATATATATATATATATATATATATATATATATATATAGATAGATAGATAGATAGATAGATAGATAGATAGATAGATAGATAGATTGATAGATAGATAGATAGATAGATAGACATACATACAAACATACATACATACACACAGACAGATAAAAGACAGACATACAGACAGACATACAGACAGATAGACAGACAGACACACAAACAGACACACAGACAGATAGACAGACTGATAGATAGATAGATAGACATACATACAAACATACATACATACACACAGACAGATAAAAGACAGACATACAGACAGACAAATAGACAGACAGACAGACAGACACGTACCTGAAGAGGAGCAGTCTCCGTGGCACCATAGCCATGGTAAACACCAGTCCCTGGACGCCGTTCAGCACGGTGTAGATGACGAAGTTGTCATGGCAGGTGGTATCACACAGGCCAGGGGTCACGGTTCCATTCCCGGTGGCCAGGCCGGTACACTCCATAAAAGTCTGAATGGGGACAGCATTTTAAGTCAGTTTTAGTACTCTTCTTTTTAATAAAAAGCAATTGCAAAATTAACATGATATAAAAGTGTTGAATAATAAAGAGCTGTTTCTGTTTCTCCGTCTCATTCTCTCTATCTCTCTCTTTCTCTCCCCTACCCCCTTTCTCTCTATCATTCTCTCTCTCTCTCTTCTCTCTCTCTCTCTCTCTCTCTCTCTCTCTCTCTCTCTCTCTCTCTCTGTCTCCCTCTCTCTCACATACACTCGCGCACACACACACAAACACACACAAACACGCGCAGAAACACACAACAACAACAGCAACAACATAAACAACAACAATAACAACAACATCAGCATCAACAACAACAACAAATACAACAACAATATCAACAACAATAGCAACAAAAACACAATAAATGGGACGACACAAAGATACGACCGTCACCTTCCCGTCCAGGCTTGTACACCCGGCGTGGCATGGGGAGTAATAGTGCAGCCCGTCTGATCCACAGGACAAGAGTTGTTTCTCCGTTTCACAGCCACACATGTCTGTCATATTGGCGGGGAGACCGCTGGGGGAGGGGGTGGGAGGGGAGAGAGGAGGGGAAATTTGAAGGTTGGGGGAGGAGGTCGGAGGGGGACAAGGAGGGAGATAGATAGATAATG